AGCAAAATACAGTTGGAACAGTATATATCCGACAGTAAAAGGATAACAGGATTTATCAATATGAAACTGTCATGAAATGAACAATGGCAGATTTTAGTTGCAAGAGTAAATGAGCAAGGACAAAAATCATGTCACACCGGTAATGTGGTCCTTCAGGGGGCTTCCTGTTCGACTTATATTCTGGCTTAAGCACAGAGGAAGATTTTTGTTACAATAGTATATCATCATCCTTGACCAAATTCCAACTTATAAATCACAAGTCAAGTGTTTCACCTCCTGTCTTCAACAGACCACGGACACAAAACCAACCGGAGTGACTCTGCACAACACAGGACACACATCACCTCCCTATAATAAACTACTGCTTTATTTCGTATGGATTATGATTCCTTGAAGGTTTAAACTGGCCCATTTGACTTTGAAATATTAAGGTAACTTTCCAAATGTCTTCTCCCCATTTTGTTTTCAGTCGGTTGCTCGATTAGTTGTGCCTTAATTTATGTGTTTAAAAAAAACATTCTTTTACATTACCGTTTACTCCATTTCATTCCCCCTATTGTGTTGCATTTAGTTTTAACCAATATTATTGAATATTTGTAATTATAGAACAATAGTGCAACACTTGTTATTTCACCAATAAACCTAGCAAACTCTACAAAGGTAATGCATCTTAAATTAATTGTAATAATCCATCAGAAGTAAAGCAGTTTACATTTAGTTCATTGAAAATACACGCCATTCAAATGAATGTAAAACGTTAAGGCAATATATTGGCGATACCACTATTTTACATATGCCTCACTACGGGACAGGCCTTCCCTCTGCCCTTCACTCACCCAGTGTGCTCGCCGTCTGCAGCAGCCAGAGGATCAGGGCGCTCTGAAGAAGTAGTCGTCCCATCATAGTGGACCTGGAGGGGAAAATGTTTTAGACCCAGCAGGAGAATGAGAGTGAAGCAGATGATCTGAAGTGGGCAACGTACCGTGATTGTGAGGGTCTCATATACACTCTGTCTGAGGCGCCCCTCCTTCTGCTTTTAGATGCTCCTGTTCCCCAGATCCTCCCCCACTTGTTGGGAGACACACACACACTAACTAAATAATTGGGCACTTAAAGTACATTAACACTAAAGGGAGACATAGGAGCAAAGAGCGGGAGCTCAGCAGATTGGACATTGACTGATGAAGTCTTGACAGAGCATCGCACAACATGGATTAAAGGCAGAAACATCACTGTCAAAATCTAAATTGTTTATACAGACTATAAAAATACTTTCAAACTGTATATCCTCACAGCAAAGGCCAACGCTTCCTAATGTCATGCAAAGCATAAATAAATGGGTTCCACTGGACACCGTGCACGGTTTAATATTTAAATGAACTGCCGTCTAGTAAAATATAGCATGTAAAGAATGACAGAAGTCACTCTCACCATACAATAAAACACAAACGTGTAAACATACTTCTGACATGCTGTGCTAAACTCTAGACATAAATCATTTGTAATGTCTGCACCAGTGACAGAACCCAACAAAGTTAAACTCCGACATGCAATCGTCTGAAAAGGAAACCGTTTAGTCAAATATTTGATTTTAAAAAGTGTTTTTGCAGGAATGTTGTGTCTTGAACAAATACAAAGGAGGAGTTTATAATGTACAGAAAGCTCAACATGCATCCTGTCCACAGTTTTATTCGTGAATGGACTTTATGACAGAAATGACATCACTCCAAGTTACAGCGAAGTCTCTTAATAGAGGAATGATGGAAAGTGTGAGCGAGCTTCATCCTCAGCTCCCGCCTCTATCAGTCCGTCATGTCTCCATGGTCGCAGCCAACACACACACAGCTAGTGAGAGCGGCCCCTTGTATATTCAAAGAAAGAAAAGGGAGTAAAAAGAGAAAGATATCTCACCGTTCACATAGATTCCTCACTCAAAGTCCAAATCCTCTTCTTATGGGGTCAAGGAGAGGTTAACGTCTCACCTCGCAGCCCACCCAGACCTCTCACATACTTGGCTTCTCAACAAAGTCACTCACCATCTCCGCTGCTACTGACAACCATCCGTCTAACTTTCACCACCAGGTAACAAATGTGTCTTTCAATTCCTCCTCTGATCCCTCAGTGTCATCAATTTTGGAAATATTTAAGTTGCTGTGGTGTTTTACATCAGGTGTTTAACATCAGGCATACAATGGAATTAAAGTAGGATGTCATGAAGCCCATATGAGATACTTAATGTAATAACATGGTGGTTGTTGGAGTTGACATTGTTAAACGTGTAAACTTGAGATATCTAAAAAAATACATAATCCGTTTTAAATCACAGCCTACACACCCTCATCTAATGGTTACTTTTTATAAACTCATGATCCCCAGAGGAGGAATCCAGATGACTCCATCTTCCTTTACCACCAGATCCATATAACATCTTTTTCAGCACATGCATGAACGGGAATATGTTAGGAGGGAATTGTTCCAAAGAAAATAGTTCCTACATGAAAATATTGACAAGGTCTATGGATTATCTTTAGTAACCATGTCATGGTTTCTTAGGAGACATTGCCTATGAGTTTCAAATTGTGGCACTTTGAGCACCACAAGCCTTGTGCCATCTAGTCATATTATAAAGATGACTGATTATTTGACTAACATCTCAAACTCAACGCAAAACAATCTAGATTGAGTAACATAACCACAGGTTAAAAGGGAATATATAAGATTTGTGGGTAAGCTGTTCCTTTTAACATCAGCATTCCAGCCTCTTCATTGTGCACAAGTTGGCATGCTGATGTTAGCATTTAGCTCAAAGCACCAGCGTGCCTCACAGAGCCGTTAACATTTCTGTAGACTGTTGAAAGATGCCCTGTTGGGAGCAGCTTTTACAGGCATGTAGCTCCTGTGGGTGACAGCTGTGCGGAGTGGAAAATGCATGTTTGTACTAAACCTTTCAGAGGTGAAAAGGTCATAAAGCTTAAAAGCCCTGGGTAATTAAAATATTTACCTACACATTTTTACAGAACACATAATGGCATTGATATCAAATGAAGAATTCCTACCCAGTGGCAAACTGATATTATCTGAGTGTTTTCAAAAACACAGACACATGATGAACTGACACATGCCAGATTGTATTGGTTAATGTAATAATTCATAGGGTTTAGTTTGAGCTGGTGGTCAGGATGTTAGTGTGTCGCTCTGTGTACCGGGAAAAACACATGGGCTCTAGACCACAGAGCAACCACTGTTCGACAAGGATTCTCTGACTGCACACAGCCGTGTCGCTGTGTGTTCCCTGCCCAGATGTGTGCAGCTGTTAGAGGCAGGAGGGCCAACAGCGTTCTGACTCAGTGTTTGGTGGACAGCCAGTGGACTCTGCCAGCTGTTGGACTGTTTAACGCTGGTTGGAAATACAACTTCAATTCAAAACATTGCTCCAAAACTGCTGCAAATAAATAAGCTGTGAGCACAGAGAGAGGTCTGAGCAGGAGGTGGGTCAAAGAAAATAACTTCAATGTACTGGTGAAGGGATGAAGTGCAAGAACACCAAAGTATGGTTCATTTACCAACTACTTTATAAAGCGCACAATATTTGTTTTCACGGTCTTAATATATCAGTTTTCTGTAATAATCTTTATCATATTACGTCAATACACTGCGCACTGCTGTGACAAGCAATAGACACAATTCATTAAATGTTCTCGTTTAAGGTTAATCTGTTGTAACAATGTTTCAAGGTACATTGGACCATCTCAAAGAAATATAATATAGCAATTGTTATTTGCATCAAAGTGAACCTCCTTGACCCCCCAACTAAAAAGCACATGATTAAATACAGCGTTGCCTAGTTACAGTATTATGTGTATAGTCAAATGTTAACTGTAATCTGTACTTCTATTTATTTTTACCATACATGGCGAGAACGTTTAACCACGCTGGTCCCATATATCAATAAGAACAATATTCAATGTCTGGCAACACTTTATGGAGCCTTTTTATAGATGGTCAGTGACAAACCAAAACACATTAAGGGAGAAAGACCTAACAGTGGTTCAGTAGAAACAGAGGCCTCATGTTGTGCACATATCATTACAAAGTGTTCCTGCTGGCAGAGCGCTAAAATAATGCACCAAGAATCAGCGGTTATAACCACATTCAAATAACCGTATCAATGTTTGGCTCCCGTCTGCTCTCACCACTGGTATTCTCCTCACCGCAGTCACCTCCTGTAATTATTTACTTTTGGTAAAACTGTCCTTGTGTATTTGTGAATCTTTTTTCTTAGTAACTCTATTTTGACAAGTTTAGCTCTGTATAGAAAACCCCTGTAACGGGTCTAAAGTGACGGCATGTCCCACTGCCGGTTTCTCCCTGTAGGAATGTCACACACTGGCGTTTCAGGACAGAACTACGGCTTATTGGTTTAGTTAAACCTCAACTCCCTTCGGCAAAAAAAAGAAAATGTAATCAGGATCACAGACTTTACTCCGATTTGGTTTTTAAGTAAATTCATAGGATAATTAAGCCATGGCCTTCATGGACACTGCCTACTTAAATCTTTATTTATTCTCATGTTTCGTTCACAGAATCTTTAATGTTTGGGCTATCGGATGCAATAACATTTCCCCCTTTTCTTCTTACCTCATCAAATGCTAGTATGTAGGATTAAAGTTGTAACCATGTTAAACTGTTCAAGTGCTTCTGAAACATGTTAGTTCAACATTAGGAGGTGTGGGAGAGAAACTTCCTCTGAAGGGAACTTTGGGATGTCAGGCTTTGCAGACCATTTACATGCACACAAACATATAAAACAGGAAAGGGAAAAGCATTATAGGGCCCCTTCAAGTTAATTCCCTGAAGTATGAGTGAGTGAGTAAAGACCCGCAGCACCACTTAAACCAGACTCGAGTAAAATCCAGTCTCGGACGTGGACTCCAAATGTCCTCCATGGTTAGTGCGCTCAGAATGTTCTGCAGACTTGATAAAACTGTGGCTCATTTTTAAAGATGTTTTTTTTATTTGTGTTGCAAGTGCTCTACAAGGGTGCAATATAAATGATCACGGTTTCCAAATGAATATAATAAATAAAAATGACATCAAATACATCAATTTTGTATCACTATACATTTGGACACAATGCATGCCTTTTTACAAAAAAATCAAAATTGCATTGCTTATGTTGACGGACTATGCCATGACAACTACCTTCATAGTTATTATTATTATAATGAACAGAATGGTTCAGCTGTACAATCTTAAATACTATACAATCCTCAACCTGGTCACCAATATCTAATCCAACACATTTATCTCAGTACGTTTTCTGTCCTGAATGTAACGGGGATCGGATAGAATACAAATAAAGAAATCAGCTCTATCTGCTAGTTAATGTTACCAACTCATTATATGGCATATCTCATGAAATGATGGCAATTTGTTATTAAAACAAAAGGAAAATCAGGTTTGCGACTTCAGAATAACTTGCAATGCTGTAACCTACTGGAGACCAAAGAGAGGAAAGTCAAACGATCAGACAAAGGAAATAAAAAGGGGAAACAGCCGGTGTGCAAAAATGTGAAGGGATAAGGAAGAGGAGGAAAAAAATATAAGCATCAAAGCATTTTGTACATTCTTCTTTTGTGAATAAACACTGAGGAGTCTTTCAGCGTTTTGCTTCTCCTATAACTCTAGTGTTCATCACAACCTGGGCATTAGCTGAACGTCTCTTTAGCTTACGTCCACCTTAAGATGCAAGAGCCAGGTATCCAGTAGCAGACCTAGATAAAGATATTTTACAATGATATTTTGGTCTGCATTTAAGAAAAGAATAAATATTGCATTTGTATACCATGTGAAGATATACTCCTTTTGTATCAAAACATGTAAAGAAGGGACTTACTCCATGTTGCTTTTCAGCTGATGCACAGTGCGCTTGTCCAGGTAACGGCAGAAGAGAGTCAGCAGGTTGGAGGGCATGAGCAGTGGCTCCACCAGAGAAGACTCGGACAGCTGTCCCGCCACCTGGAAGATTGTGTCCGTCCTGAAAGACAAAAGGGACACTAATGTCTTTAGGGCTCATGATTTTTGTCGAGTTGATTTAATCAAATGATCTGTAAAACTGAGTTCTTCCACTAATAGGGACAGTTCCATCGCACAGGCCATAAGAAGGTTAAACACCTGACCTTTTGAAAGAACAAACATAACATTCATCTGTTTGCCACTCGCATATATATCTCAATATTGCAATTACTGTATATAGACTATTCTGCACAGTTTCAGCATCATATTCTGTTTCTATTATATTCTATTTACTTGTATTATTTCTTCTATTTTATCTGTTTTATTGTGTTGCACTGTTGTAGGAGCCTGTGACCTACGATGTTCATTGTCATAACTACACTGTAGCTATGCACACATTACAATAAAAGCCTTGCAACTCGAATAATCACGCAAAACATCCGTTGGAATATTGTATTAACTAAAATATATCATTCAGAATAGGAACAAGGCTTCAAATACTTTTGTAACTAAGACAAAACATCCAATTAGCAGACTAATCAACTAAGAGGGGTCAATCCTAAAGGTCAATATTGTATGAGGATGTTAAAATGATTCATCACAGAATAAAGGCTTTAAAAACCCCACCATGTCTCAAAGTCGCCGATGCAGGGATCTAGAGGAACGCCTGAGGACAGCAGCTTCTCTCCTTGGGACAGGAGAGCGTACAGCAAGGACAGTCCAAACTGAAAGGACAAAAGGTCACAAAACATTGATGCAAAAGTGGCATTACATAAAAGCCAAAGAGCAACAGAAAGCTCAGACCTTGTTCTGACATGCCAGCGTCAGAGACTCGTATGTCGTCAGCTCTTTGAGGACGCCGATCAGCTGACTGAACGCCAGGCCTCCAATCACTTTGCGAAGAGGAGGGTAGAGCACTGGAAGGGCCTGAAATGTATATTGTTTTAAGGTTTTGAGAATGGAAGATTATTCCTGACCTTTTGAACTAAGCTCGAAACATAATTATCAAAAGTTGGCGTTTTTTAACACACAACGTCAAGTGAATCTAACCCCTACCTCTTCTGAATCTCTGCTCATCAGTGCAGGAAGGTTAGAGGTCACTATGCTCAAAATGTTCAGAGCAGTATCCTTTTTCAGGAACGGGAGCAGACGGGCGAGAAGCCTTTTGCCTTTTGAGACCAGCAGGAAAGGAAGAAACTCCACTCCTGAATCTCTGCATCAAAACATTTGAGAAAAATCATTGACCAAATGTAACATCCATCAAAATTATACAACTCAAAACGAAGTAAACGAATATCACTTTAACCAAAATGCATCACTTCTCAGTGATCTACCCCTGGAGGCAGGGTGTGTATAACTCACAGGGTGCTGTGATGTTGCAGCTGGGAGTAGATGTGCTCCACTTTGCCCTGGGACTTCTCCATGATCCTCCTTTCTTCTGCTTCAGGCAAGAGGAGGGTTTTCATCCTCTCTGCCTCCTCCACCTCCAGCAGAACCATGAACAACTGCAGGGCAGAACAGGTGTGAGCGGCTGTTTGAGAAGGTGAATAAAATACATCTACCTGGATCAAAACAAGTAATCAGCAGGTACCTTTTCTATTTTACTGAGGACCTCTAACCGCTGCTGCTTGATGTCTTTCTGTTCCTGTAATGAGGAAATATGTCTCAGTATTAGGAACAGCAGAGACATACATTTCAAAATAGGACAAATGTTTCTCATAAACACAGTCACCTCGAGCGGGCCCTGAGTTTGGACTGCATTGACTGCGCTGATGGCCCGGCGAGGAGAGTAACATGTGGACACAGCAACCTGACCCAAAGAGCCTTCAATGTGCACCACTGCAAGAGAAACACACTTTAACAGGTGGAGAAAAACATGTTCAGCACTAAGAGTTCCTAGAGTAGAGAGTGGACATTTCTCAACATGCAGGCTGGCAAAACAAATGCAATAACATGAGTTCATAACATGAAAAGGTGAAGGTAGATGATAAACCTGGTGCGTAAACATCAGTTTTCGTGATGTAAGGTGTGGTGAGTTTAGGCGTCTCCCTCTTGCTCCTGATGCCCAGCTCTTCCTCTGCCATCTTAGCTTCTATTCGCCGGTAGTACTCCTAAAACAAAGTTCAAAGTTTCTAGTTATGAAATGATTTAAGTATTTGGTAATGCACTCTAGAATTGGCTTTTCTGATACAAAAAAAAAACCACTTAAAAAAAGGAGCAAGATCTCGAATGAAAGAAGAAGACGCAGGAGCTAATATTTCCCACCTGGTAGTAGTAGTCCTCATGGTACGGATTCTCACTCTGCAGCTGGATCATCTGCAGCCGGGTGATCCACTCCTTCTCTTTGGCCGTCATGAGATTACAGTAAGGATCCCAGTCCTCTGTTTTTCTACAGAGGTCATATTGTTTTTATAAATAGGCCTTTCCCTTTTGTGTGACATACTGAATATGAAATGGTTTGGAATCTTTGAATACTCACCTTTGGAAAATACGTTGTTTTTGACTGAGAAGCCGTTTATGTTGTGGGTGGAGCATGGTGACGGGACCGGGGTATCTGTGGGTCAAGCAATCAAATTAAAAAGCACAGTGGATTAGTTTAACACTCCACAGTTTTAGGGTTAATCTGATAGTGGCTCTGGTTCAAGCAGGTATTCAAGTAATTAAGCTTATTCATTTTTTAAATGCAAAATTAATTGTTTATTGATCTCAGTTCATAAAGTTTGAAGACATAGGAAATGTTAATGTTAATGTTGTTAAGTTTAGTGGCTGGTTGTATAGTTTTCATCAATATGTCATGTCCTTTGATGCCAAAGTACGTTAGGTTCAGATGTATTAATACTTTCTCTGATTTATTCTTTACATGAAGGATTTGTTTATGAGATTTACAGCTGCATCCCTTAGATTAACTCTTATAACTGTATCATGTAAATACACAGCAATGCCAGGGATTTGATAGGATCCAGAATGTCAGGCCAATGGAGAGATTTATATACTTATGAGGAATTAAAAACAATTGCCAAGTCATAAATATATGTGGTACTTTTAACTTCACTGACAAATATTTCCAGCCACAAATCAAACATCCCTGTGTGATACACGGGATCATGACACACCTGAAATGCTGCACCGGATTAGACGAGGGGCTGTAAAAGGCGGACGGCCTCGGAGAGTTGGCACCGAAGTGAAGTTGCATCATTTTTGGGGTGGAGGGGCAGCGCATGAAGCCTCCCGTCTGCTTCAGAACAAAATAAAAACATCTGTCAGATAAATGCAAACAACTCTTTGTAAATACGTTTGCTAGACTGCCCATTTTTTTAAGGATTTAGTTTTTTTGACAGTGTGAATTTGTTGGCTTTGCAACCAACTGAATACCCCTCTATTCAAGTCTCCCTTTACACAACTGTGGTGATACGGTGGTATCTTTCAGGATCCACAATGTTGTTTTGAGGTCAAATTAATAAATAAAAAACATGAAAAGGCCCTCTTTAGAGCCAGTGATTGGTTTGTCCTTTATACGAACATAGGGGTTCATTGAAGCAACATAGGAGACCCCGAAGAAGAGGACCTGTACCCTAAGGATAAAGGGCTTGAATAGATCCTCCCAAGTACTACACACTTGCCCTTTAACGCATCAAAATAGGGCCAATGTATTATTGAACAAACCTGATTGTAATGTTGCCGTGGGGTTAACGTCTGACGTGAGAAGATAGGTGATCCTCCTACCATGGACGTATGCATCTGCAAGAAAACATTATTAATTGAAGGAACACTTGACATGTTTGGGTATAGTAAACAGTTTAGAAAGTGATTTAATTTATTGTAGATATTCAGAGAAGAAGATTGATACAGTACAATGGGTTATTATTATATCTTCAGCAAACAATGTGTTCGCTTAGCATTAAGACTCTGTCGACAAGTAACAGAGTGGTATTGGTCCTCTCATCAAAAATATAGCAATAAAAGGAAAACCCTGAAATGTGGAACTACTCTGCTAAATGTAATCCTCCACCTGAGAGGGGCCTCTTTGGTCAAACGGGCTCCTGGAGTAAGATCCTCCGAGCTCCCCTGTCCGGCCCCTGTAGTAAGAGGCGGGACACGGCACATCCCGGAAGTTGGAGGTCAGGTGCTGCCCTCTCCCTCTGTGACCATCAATCACACACACGATAGCACTGTCCTAAGAAACAGAATGAAATAAGAAAAGCGTTTGTTTAGGTAACTCACTGCCACAGACAATGTGTTCTTTAGTGATCCTAACCTGAAGTATTGATCCTGAGATTCATCTAGTCTTTGTGGAAGATGGTAACATAAACTAAAACAAAAAACATCAAGCAATGAAACATTAGCGGTATACGAACAAAGCAAATCTAAACCGAACAATACACCCTTTCCTTAAATTGTTGCTGGTGTTTTCCTTTTGGTTTGTCTGAGTGTAGTTCCCTCGCATGTCTTGTGCCGAGTTTTATTTATGTTTGTTTTAGTTTCCCCCACTATAAATAAAGAAAAAAAGGCTTTATTTATGCAAAAAGCGACACTTACATCATCGTCAAAGGTTTTATGATAGATGGTATTCCCGAGGTCCACTATGGCACTGTCAAGAGTCTTAAAAAGCAGAAGAAAAATAAATGTAGTTAAGCTTTCAAATCTCAAATCTCATATAATAAATGAATGTATCTGAATCACCTTGATGCTGGGTCTCCCCTCCACTGTCCTCATCACAGCGGGGTCTTCAAACATCTGCCCCCTGCCCAGCCCTCCTCTCAGCCCCCTGCATCTGTCGCGCTGCGCTGGAGCCCGGGAGAAATACTGTGGTCTCTGTCTGGGAGGGGAGGGGAGGCTGCTGCGGGGCGAGGGTTTGGGGTCTGGTGGAGGTGGAGGTGGTAGGGGCAGCAGCTCTCCAAACTGAAGCACATCGACGCTGGGGTCCTCTGTGGCATCCAGATCTGATACAGACACATGTAGAAAGACTCCGAGTGAAGATGTAATCCCTACACACTAAAACATTGATACTTTTTGGCAGAAGATGGGAGTTTGTTAAGCCTCAGAAATATAAGAGAAAGTAAACTGTGTATGAAGCTGGAGCCAGCAGCCTGTTGAGCTAACGGGGCTGTTGCTCTATCTGAGGAAAGAAAGGATTACTTTTTTTTTTTACCTAGCTTGGAACTAATGGACAAAGAGAAACACATCTACACACCCATTCCAAACGTCTCCTCATTGTGGACGTTTATTGCCTCATCTTCCTCAGCCATGGCCTGCAGGAGCCCACAGTCCATGTTGGTCCCATCCTCTTCATCACTCCACTCTCCTCCATTCTCAGGCCACTGAGGCTGGGACTCCTTCTCAGCCTCCTGTGGGATTAAAACATACATGACTACAAAGAAGCAAAGAGCAAAATGGAGAGAAGCGTTCAAAAACAAGTCGGAAATGCTTTTATTCAGGCTATAAAATTAGTTTTCATTTCCAAATGTTTGTATGTTTTGCCAGCAATGGTGGTAAAAACGACCAATATGCTAATGGGCATGCTGACCACCTGACTAGCTTGTTAGCATGCCATGTACGCCCCAAATTGAGACACGCAGCGCGCTCAAAACAACAATATTAACTAATTAAAAGCAGTCTAATGATACGGACTTACTTGTTGCTGTTCTGAATCACTCATTGTGTATTTTTTTACGCCGACGGTTCACGGTGACTTTCTTTCTGCTGCAAGTTACCTGCTTGCTCTTGTCAGACAGCGCGCGAGGCTCATTAACTGTAAATGAACTCACCTGTGCGAGCTTCAGAGGCGCGCACACGTCAACACTTAACTATCATCTCAAACCTACTGTATGCTTACTGTTTATGGATATCAAATGTGGTTATACATTTGTTAAAGAGTTTAAATTAATTGTACTGTTTATTTTGAATATATGGACACATTCAGGATGCACTAGGCAATGATTTTAAAACAGTAATACTCAAAGCGATGGGTGAACAGGGACATCTAGTGGTCAACGTGTATTACTGCAGCATTTTGGGTTTATTTTGGTTCATTTAGATGTGTTATAAAAAGAACAGTAGATTGATAGATAGAAGAAAATATCTTATAAAGATACCTCCCCTATTGAATATGAAGTCATACTTTAAAAAAAAGCATAATTCGTCAAAGATTCAAGAATATGCAGTAATATAAATTGATAAAAACGTACAATTTAAATGGAAATGTGTCAACTTATTACATTACAACTCTTCTCGACATTAAATACTGTCATGTTGTGCATATACAAACATGCAATTATCGTATTTTAATCTATTTTATTTGTTCACATACTTTATATCTGATTACGCTAACGTTTTTTCTGTTCTTAATAGACTTAAATACAATACAATACATTTCAGATGTACTTTCCACAAAATACACTGTTCTTTGATTTTTTTGTGTGGCCTTGGAATTACCCTTCTTCGGTTATAAAGATTAATTCACCCATGAAGCAGATTATAACAAGTTGTGTTCTCCTTTATTTCATTCTTTGGAATAGTTTTTGGCAAATTGCATAGAGCAATAGTGAAATAAAAATGCAAAAATATCTGACATTGAACATATAAGAGTTTACAAAAAAACATACAGCATAAAGCAGTCAGCATACAATATATAAATGCAATAGAAGTGGCACTTTATACTTTTTGCAATATAAAGCAAATATATTAAAGGGGATTTTCTTTTCGCTCAACAGTACAAGTCCTTCACTGAAACAATACATTTGCTTTTAATATACTGTTTCATTTCTACCTTTGGCAAAAGATTTCAATTTTTCAATATTCAATTTGAATCAACACGGTATGTAATAATTTACATACATGACAAAATCATTTGGCGTCATTTTAAATCGGTCTAACTAATGCTAGACTTACATTTCACCCTGCCAGTCAAAATGCAGTCCTTTTTTTAAATTGTGAAATGAACAGAAATGTATTGGGTTGGATGCTTCTCATTTTTATTCCCTGCCCTCTATCAAAGTTATATTCTAAAAACCAATAAAGAGACCAGCTCCACCCTCATTCCCGCGGTAAAAAACAAACTAATTGAGAACTCTTGTCCCAGAGGAGGAGGGGGAGGCAGAGCGTCCTCAACCAAAGAGTTTGATGAAGCAGGGGTGGCAGTAGGGCTTGTTCTCCTGCTCCTTGAAGCAGCCTTTGCTCAGGGGTTTCAGGCAGAAGTGACACACAAGGTGGTGGGGGTGAAATTTGGCCCCCATGGCGGTGACGCAGCGGCCCAGGATCGGCTGCTGGCAGGCTTGACACATGCTGCCGCGGGACTGGTGGTAGTGGGCCTCGCACAGCGGCTGACCCTCGTGTTCGAAGAAGCTGCCGTTGACGAAGGGGCAGTAGCACTCCTGAAGAAGAGAAGAAACGCACAGAGTCAGTCACAGTGAAAAGAGCTGACTCATCGAACTGTAATTACACATCTGGCAGGGGAAATGACAACTTTCTCATGACATAATTCAAACTTATTTTTAGTTTTTTTCAGTTTTTTCGGTTTTAGGAACGCCCTGCCCACACGGTTACACATCAGAAGGTTTCAAAATGTTAAAGAAAAACAGAATTGCCAATGTTTAATGAGGGAAGAACAAGGAGATTGACTCATATTGTTTCTGTGAACATATCATCAATCCGTACGTACATCTGTTACAAAAACAGAAGTAAACACACTAACAAAAAATCTGTGAATACATGAAATTGATTTACATGTAAATGAAACACATTTATGATTATCTTTCTAGAATATATGACTTTTGGAAAGGAATTTGTGAAAACTGTTTTTATTTGTGAATCAAAAAGTAATTTGTGGACCTCAATTCCACACAGGTGGATTTACATTTTGCACGCAGAGTTTTGAAAATACATTTAACACATTTATAAGATTTCAAAGATACAGACCAAATATAAACTCCACAGCGTACCTTTAAATTCAACCTGTCTCTTTGTCAGATGAAGTCTTTAACAGCTACACCCGTAACACCAGGTAACAATCTCTTTCTAAATGCAGCGGACATCATGACCCCCCCCCCCCACAGAGAAACACTCACCCTACAAACGAAGCACTGCGGGTGCCAGAGAGAGTTGAGGGCTGAGATGTAGTTTTCCAGGATGGGCTGGCTGCAGCCTTGACAGCGGGACGCAAACAGAGTCAAGAAGCACTGCTGGCAATACTGCTGGCCCTCACGGTCATGGAAACCTGCAGGAGATGTGGTCAACGTTTTACACAGCTCAAGTTGATAAATGTTAAATGAACCGGATGAAGCTCGGAAGAAAACATCAGAACGTTTCCAAGGTGACTCTGGTCTGCGGTACATTATACTTTAATCCGTCTTCAATGGTTTATGGTTTTATTGATGTGAGTTTCTAGGGGCTGATGGTATCTCAAAGCTTGTTCTGCTTTGAATTTGGACATGTTCTGCCAAAGATTCAGTGTGTTGTTGGCAGACTGTAACTGCATTTACAACAGAACATTAACTCTCCTTTGAAAACCATAGTAATTTAGTGTTTTTTAGAGAGGTTAACAGCTGTTTAAAAGAAGGTAACAGAGCTCCCAGGGTCATAAAGTAAATCAATGCAAACTGATTTCTAGCTTTTACAAACTCTGGAACAGATTGCAACCGTAAAACAAACAATGTGCAGAGCTTTTAAGGGTTGTACGTAAGTATGAATTGTATACACTTCACTGTCAACAGTTGTGTGTTAAACCCAGACAGGAAACAGTGTGTGCCGCCCATTACCTTCCTCTCCAAACGCCCGGCTGCACTTAACACAGCAGAAACACTCCGGGTGCCAGTTCTTATCCAGAGCGGTGACCATTTTCTGACAAAAGGATTGAAAAGTTACTTAAGGTGGGTTGAGGTAGTAATTTGCCAGTGTCAAAAAAATCTTTGAGTGAAGTGACATGCACAACTAAGTCACTCACATTTAGAATGGGCTTGTTGCATTGCGCGCAGTGAGGGGAGAAGAGCGTGAAGTAGTCCGACTCGCAGTACGGCCGTCCGTCCTTTTCAAAGAAGTTGCGACTGCCTAACTCTGTCTCACACTCAGTGCACACAAAGTGCTCCGGGTGCCACACCTTCCCAAGAGCCGTGACCACCTGCACGAGTAAACAGACACAAGTAATTAACCTTTTGTGGTTTATAATTATGAAAAATGTATATAAATGAGTTCTCGGGAGCTCAATACAGTTTTATACATCTATGACTATATTCTAAGAGCTCACCTGTCCTACTACTGGCTTCTGACAAGCCGAACAGTTTCCTTTGGAGGATGTTTGAACCCCCTGTCGGGTCAGGTCTGACTGAAGCAGGCCCAGCATGCTGTCCAACGAGCCGCCGGATGAGGCCTGCGGCGGGGGGGTGGGCTGCTGCGGGGCTGTCACCACTGGAGTGACGGGTGCAGCTGGCTGGAAACACAGACAAAGGAAAATGATGCATGGCACATCTGTCTTTGAGATTTAGCAAGAGTTTATATCTGAAGTTAGTTTGAAACTAATAGAAATAAAGCAGTGACTGTTTATGTAGTGAGTTTGGGAAAAGAGGAAGAAGGACATGGAAACAAAGTGTTGCATACTGACATTGCAATTGATGTACATTTCAAACATTTCCCTGGCATTTGGTCATAAACTATTTAATTTGTGTGTAGTGCAGGTGTTGAAATATCGCCGTATGGATCAGTGGCCTGACATGCCATGCCTAGAACCACAAAGTTAGCACGCCTAATCCAGGTACATACCAACATCTGGGAACACAACAGTAAAGTGTATCCAATGGAGAAATGCTCCTTCTTAAAACACTGGGTTTTCAATGTTCCCCCAGCCTTGTGCTCTCACTTGTTTATAACACACAGCTGGAACCAAACAAACTTAAAACTACAGAACCACTTCATATGCTCTCATGCTAGCACACTGACTCACTGAATATCAGATGATGTACCATACCAAAAGAGGACCTTTAACTCTGACTTCAGAGATATCTCTTATGCTGAAAAAGATCTCTACCAAGACTAATTTGCATCCTCGGGCTCTATCCGGTGATTTATGTGCCGCGACCGCACAGTAAAGTGAAGTCATCACAAAGTCAAGTGAACGTCTTCATGACCCCAACATGAATCAGTGTGTGTGTGTGTGTGTGTGTGTGTGTGTGTGTGTGTGTGTGCGTGTGTGTGTGTGTGTGTGTGTGTGTGTGTGTGTGTGTGTGTGTGTGTGTGTGTGTGTGTGTGTGTGTGTGTGTGTGTGTGTGTGTGTGTGTGTGTGTGTGTGTGTGTGTGTTGTGAAGTCGCTCACTGTGCTCTGCACTCTGAAGTCGGACAGAGAGGCCATCAGCTTGTCCAGCTCCAGTGTGGCTGATGTTGCTGAAGGCTTCGCAGAGCTAGAAAGAGCAAAAGACAATTCTTGTTTTGGTAAACTAACAAACACACTATTTCATCTTGTCTTATTTAAAGGTGGGGTAGGTAAGTTTGGAGAAACCAGCTCGAGATACACTTTTTGTTATATTCCATGGAATGCTCTTAACATCCCGATAGCAATGAATATCTTAAGTGCTTTGACAAAAAATCCATAACAAAACGTCATCTGTGGAAGCCGTAATACTGTAAAAAGCACGACCAATCATTTTAGCCGGCCCGGCTAAAATAACTGGATGGCCTACCTGCCTGTCAGCCTTCCATCTGTGCACAAACTTATCTCGTGCCCTCATTGGTCATGTGCGCATTCGTGTGTGTTGGAGGAGGGGCTCTGTAAGGAAG